GAAAGAAAAAAAAAAATTTTTTTAATTTTATTTTTCATAATATTTTTTTATATTATTATTTTTTCCATGTCATCACTTTTTTTATCTTATTATCTTCCACGTGTATTAATATTTGCCATGTCATCCTTTTCCCGTCAAGTAACAAGACACGTAAGCAGATATTTAACGGAAGGACCAAATCGGGTTAAAATGGTAAACAGTAGGGACCAAATCAGGGATTTATTGAGTTGAGGGACCAAATCGGGGGTCCGTACGATAGTTGAGGGACCAAAATGGGGGTTTAACCTAAGTGAAACTATAGACAAAAATAATAAAGAGAAATGAGGGCAATTAAATTTTTCTAAAATATTCTACTCTTTCTATTCAATTTTAATAAACTTAATTTTTAATTTAAAACATTTAAATTTAGTTATTTATCTTTTTAAAATATTATTTAATGTATTTATTTTTATTTTATTATTATTTAAAAAATAATTACAATATATTTAAGTAAAAAAATTTATTTAAATATTAATTAATTACAAATGCATATAAAATTTTTATTAATTAACTATTATACATTTATTTTATTAAATTAAAAAAAAAAACTAAATTTATTTACGTTGAAGAGAGAGTGTCAAACTACAGTCTTTCAAGTTTTAGTAGCCCAAAATTTTTTCTAGAAAAGGGTGTTCCTCGGTAAACCCTTTCGTCATCCTTCACTTCCCCGAAATGCCTTCCCCTAAAAACTTTTGACAACCAAACTCAAAATGTCATTTTCAAAACGTGTTTTTGTACAATTTTGTTTCCAGAAATGGCACATGCCAAACAAGCCCGTGAGATAGGCAATATCTAATTATTCTGAGTGTGAAAAAACGCACTAATTTTCCAAGACTTTTCTCTCCCTCCACACTCAATAATATTCTCCCTTCAATTTTTCATCCCATATATATATATTCCCTCTGCTTCAATACTTGAAGCCATAGAAATCCATATTTTCCATTGTTAGTTCTTAATTTCTTCATCTCTAAATATGAGCAACGTCCCCCAGCATGATTCTTCTTATTACCCTCCTCCTCAACCTAAGCCTCAAGGTAAGCAACTATGGAGTACAGATTCTGTGGTTCTTCTCCTTTTTTCCTTCGAGTTTAGAGTAAAAATTGAAGTTTTTATGCAGCTATCTATCAAGGACCTGTGATGGTACCTCCTGAGAATGCTGTACCTCCCCCCGCGGCCGCCAAGCAAGACCTTAGTTTCTTGCAGGGATGGTATGTACACTATATAAGCCTACCGTATAATTTTTTTCTGCACGTATAAACCCAATTAAAATTATTTTAAAGACCATTAATTACTTATAATTCTTACAAAATAAGATGATGTAAGGTCTGTATTAGATAATACCGAGGCTTTTAGATTGTTATGTGTTTCTATGTAAATGAGATTTGTCTTATGAATTGCGTGCTTCTTTTGGGGTTCTTGTTTTTGCCATTTGCTTGCAGCCTTGCAGCTTTGTGTTGCTGTTGGCTCTGTGAAGACTGCTGCTGCGACCCAACTGCGATGTGTTGCACCTAAACCACCATAACCAGTAAAATATGTTCGTGGCCTAATGCCATGATACATGCTTAGTAGATTCAAAACCATTATCTGTGTCTTTTTCTCCTTTTCACAACATGAATAACATTACACAATTCCAATATGTATTTTCTCCTCTTTTATAGTGTGTTGTTGTTGGGTCTTTTATAGTGTTGCTTTTCACAATAACTTGGATTGACAATTTGTTTAGGATAAGTTTCAATACGGTTAAATAAAAGTACAAATTTGGTGGTTTTTTATTATTATTATTTTATGGAAAGGTATAAACTTGTTTAATTATACTAAAATTTTTTTTTTTCAATTTTTCTATTAGTTATCAAGCATAACATGTTTAAAATCAGACATAATGGTAAACAAATTTTTTATTTAAACATATAAAAATTATAAAAATTAAAATTAAAAAATTAGAAATTATAATCATACTAAACAAAGTCTAAATTTGTTAAAAATGATGGGTTATTCCTACAAAAATTAGTGAGGGAGAGTTATGCTTTGATTGGATAAATGGGGCTCACTTATAGTAATCCCAACTATTGATGAACTAGCTGGGAATATCATAATTGGGAACAAGCATCTTACTTGGAAGATTTGGGAGTGTTGCCTCAAGATTAAGCACCTGCATTGCTTTCTTGATCGATGATCGATGGTCTTATACTATGATCAGGATGTGTGCACCATAAGCCAACAATCTGTGAACACTCCATCTCTTTCGAATCAAAATCTTCTGAAAGTTTCTTGCCAACCAAATCAAGAAGCTTGTGATTCCCGTAAGCTTCCCACACCCAAGCTATCAACGAAGCTTGATCCTGAACATAACTAGGCTCTATAGATCTTCGTCCACATGCAATTTCAAGTGTTTGAACTCCAAAGCTATAGACATCCGATTCCTTACTTGCCTTGTCTATTCTATAACACTCAAGAGCCATATAACCCATGGTCCCAACCAATAAAGTTGTTCCAACATAATGTTTAGCATTAAAAGTCGATTCCACAATAATGTTGTTTGGTTTAATATTCCAATGCAGCACACAAAAAATATCCTAATTCATGCAAATACAACAATGCAGATGCCAAGCCATCCACAATTTTGAATCTAAGATTCCATGGCAATAGGCCTCTTGCTTTGAAGAGGTGGGAATCTAGGCTTCCATTAGGCGTGAACTCATAAGCAAGTAAAAGCTCCTTTTCATGACACCAATCTATAAGCTTCACCAAATTCTTATGCCTCTAAGGACTAATGATCTTCACTTTGGTAGTGTACTCCTTGATTCCTTGTTTAGACCTTCTTGAGATCCTTTTAACTGTGACATCTACATTTGAATCCCTCGAGAAACCTTTATAAGTGGATCCAAACCCTCCCTCGCCTAGCTTCTCTTCTTCTACAAAATTCTTTGTTGCTTTAGACAATTCCTTATAGGAGAAATCACTAGGTCCCCTGCCATTCCCAAAATCATCACCAAAGGACACGTTAAAAGGCAAGTTCACCTAGTGCTCTTCCTTTACTCTTTCTTTAAAAAAAGAACAGAATGAAACCTAAGCTAGAAAACAAAAGCACATACATCAACAATTGACCCAACTACCATTCCAGTCTTCTTCTTTCTTCGTTGAAGGGGAAGATCATTTGTGACCGGATGGATTATTGGTGGGTTCCAAAAGTGAAGCTTGGGGGGATTGTTACCGGAGATAAGATTGATTGTCATTTTCCACCGGACGGATTATTGGCGGGTCCGCAAAAGCGGGCTTGGAGGGATTGCTGCCAGGGATAATTGATTGTCAATTATCACAATAAAGTTTCTTCGAATTGGTAGTAATGGTGGGTCTGCAATATCAGTTCTTCTTGTAAATACTAACGAAGTTGATTGATTCCGTCCTATAAGGCACAGGCCAACGTAGCTTCCCGAAGGATCATAGTTACAGACGACAAAAGTCCCACCATTGTCGCAGCGTACTCTTGCACATCCAAGGCGGATCGATCACCCCGAGATGACCTGAGTGTATACACGGCATTTGAATGCACAGGCCCGCAGTCTCTGATCCTTTGATTAGCGCAGTTTTGTGCATAGGCCGCCACCTCATCGGCCTAACTACAACCACCGCACGATACGTGTTGTGGGTATTTAGGTAGGCTTCAGGTGACTCTTGGGAGTAGGAAAGCAATGCTGCTGAAGGAAGCTCACCAGTTCCATAATTCGGAAGTTGGGGAGGGAGCAGTGGAGGTGATCGAGCCACCTCCACAATTGTATTAATAACAAATGTAGTAACCAGTGTCAATCCCCCGAAGCAGAGAGTTGCTGAAATACTCTGTAAACCCATTTGGGTCAACATGGATTAGAGCATTGGCCCTCAAATTGCTGAGAAATGGGTAATTGGGGCTCGAATTATTGAGTTTTAATAGATTATTGATGTATAGCAGGTTTAAGTATTCCGTATACTCTATAGAATAAAATTATTGTCAATTAAAGGAAAATGGTTGAGTCCCACTACTCATTTTACTTCGAATATCAACGCGTTTTGTAAATTTTTCTCGCATTCATTACAATTGCATTTCTTTTATTAATTAAAATTATCTCTTTGGGAGAATTTCCTCTTTCTTTTGGTAAAGTTTCAAAAGTCTACAATAATAGAATCCAAAGTATATTTTGACTGTTTCAGCCCGGTTTACACTCAGGTCTCGACTTTGGATAAAGTACCGTGGGCTAAGCCTTCT